GAAAGGGGGCTTGGGAAACAATTTAATTATCAGAAGGTTACTTGGTGATGAAAACAATCAAAGCAAAAAAAAAACAAAAACAAAAACAAAAAACAAATCTGTTGCCGTCGAGTCGATTACGACCCATGATGACTCTGTGAGTAAAGGGAGTTCTTATTCATTCAGCAGTCAGCAAACACACTGAGTATCCACTATGTGCCAGGTATTCTTCTAGGGGTCCTGGGGTCACAGTGGTGAATAAAAGCAGTGCAATCCCAGGTCCACAAGACTTAGTGAAGTGGGGGTGTCATGAGACCATTGAAGCATTATAGAGGAGTGACACAATGATTGTGGCTGCTGAATGGAAGCAAGAGTGAAGTCAGAGAAGAAGCAGGGAGACCAATCAGAAGGCTATTACAGTGGCTAAGGAGAGACATAACAGTGTCTCAGACCAAGGCTGTAGTGGTGAAATAGTGAGAAGGATGGTTAAATTTGGGGTATGTTTTGGAGACTGATCACTGGACTTACCAATGAATTGATGAGAATGTAACCAGGTAAAGGTGCAGCCACTTATTGAAGTGGAGGAGGCTACGGAGGGACTGGATTTGGTGATTTGTTGGGGTTGGGAGGTGGGGGAGAGAGCAGGAACAATAGGTCTGTTTTAGCTCTGTTAAACTTGAGAGGTCTATTAGACATCCATGTGACAAAATTAAGTAGGTAACTGGAATAGCACTCTGGTGCTTAAAAGGGAAGTAGCACCAGAGATTCAAATTTGGGAGTTGCATTATCATTTAATAGGAGCCCTCGTAACAGAAAGGTTGGTGGTTTGAACCCACCAGCTGCTCCGTGGGGAAAAATGTGGCAGTCTGCTTTCTTAAAGATGATGGCCTTGGAAACCCAATGGAGGCATTTCAACTCTGTCCTATAAGGCTGTAAGGTCACTATGAGTTGGAATCAACTTAAAGGCGATGAGTTTGGGTTTTTGTTTTTTTGGTTTATTATCATTTAGATAGGGTGTTTAAATCCACAGGACTAAATGAGATCACACCAAGAGTGAAGACAGAAAAAAAGGACCCAGGCTCTCTGGAGATCTCCAAAATTTAGAGATCTAATTGGATAAATGGAGAGTCACAAGAGACTGACGGTGGTCAGTGAGCTAGGTGAAAATCAGGAGAGTATGGCATCCCAGAATCCTAGAGGTAATGATCAACAGTATGCAGTGCTGCTGTGAGGTTGGGTAAGATGAAGACAGGGAACTGACCACTGGCTTTAGCAAGATATAAGTCATCGGTGACACTTTTGTGTTTCAGTGGAGTGATGGGATGTAAGTTTCTTTGTAGTGGGTTGAAGAGAAAATGGGAGGTGAGGAGATGGATTTGGCCAACTCTTTCAAGAAGTTTTTCTGTGAAGAGAAGCATAAAAATGAGGCAATATCTGGATGTAGTGGAGATAAGAATCTTTAAAGATAGGTAAAATTAAAGCATGGTTGGATACTGTCTTAGTCATCTAGTGCTACTATAATAAGTGCTACTTTAACAAAGAGAAATTTATTCTCTCACAGTCTAGTAGTCCAGCAATTCAGATTCAGGGCATCAGCTCCAGGGGAAGGCTTTCTCTCTCTGTCGGCTCTGGAGGAAGGTCCTTGTCATCATTCTTCCCTTGATCTGGGAGCATCTCAGCACAGGAACCTCAGGTCCAAAGGACGTGCTCTGCTCCCAGCACTGCTTTCGTGGTGGTATAAGGTCCCCATGTGTCTCTGCTCACTTCTCTTTTATATCTCAAAAGAGACTGCCCTAACATACTGTCTAATCTTGTAGACCTCATCAGTATAACTGCCGCTAATCCATCTTATTACATCATAGTGATACAATTTACAACACACAGGGAAATCACATCAGATGATAAAATGGTAGACACTCATACAATACTGGGAATCATGACCTAGCCAAGTTGACAGATATTTTTAGGGGACACAATTCAATTCATAACAGATACTGATGGGAATGACGGAGGGAGGAAAAGAGAGAAAGAAAATATAATTGGGAATACAATCATGTAGATTTCAGGAATAAAATCTGTGTTAAGGTAAAAGGGTTGTGATCCAGGGCATAGGGGGAAAATTGATCCTTTGATAAGATTAGAGAAAGTGGGAAAGTGAACTCACGTGGGAAAGTTAGGAGGCCTATCTGGCAACTGTGAGTTCCTTTTGAAAGGTACGGTCATGAATTGCCCTTCTTAGAGAATTCTTAACAAATAGTACCTCATTTAACTCTCTTTACTGAAACTTTCTTTTTTGTGTAAGTGGATCTTTTATCTTTTAAAATATATAGTATTTGATACCACAAAAATATATGTAACTTACCTATAGTTAGAAAGCATAATACAATGCATACCTGTGAACTCTCCACGCTATCCCAAATTGGACCTTTGCCAATAATTTAATTTACCTTTGTTCTCCTTTCTAACCTCATCTCCTTGAAGGGAGTGGGCACCATCCCCCAGCACCCCTTATCCTGAATTTTGTGCTTATCATTCTCTTCCCTTAAAATCACAGATGTATTTTTTGTCTAAATTTTTTTGTTTTGTTTTCCTTATATTTGAGCTTTATAAAAATGACATTTGGGACTTGGCTTTTTTTAACTCAGCATTATCTTCCAAGATACATTCTTGTTATTATGGGTTTTCATTTATTTATTCTGCTTGTGTGTTTACACTATAATTTAGTTATCCATCTCCCTATACAAGGACATTTGATTTGTTTCCAATTTTTTGCTATTATTAACCGTGTGATGCTGTCAATATTCTTTTATAGTTTTCTGGTACACATATGTAAGAGTTTCCCAAGTGTATATATTCAGGAGTGGAATTGCTAGATCATAAGGTATGTGAGGAAGCCCTGGTGACGTAGTGGTTAAGAGTTTGCCTGCTAACCAAAAGGTTGACAGTTCGAATCTACTAGGCGCTCCTTGGAAACCCTATGGGGCAGTTCTACTCTGCCCTATAGGGTCGCTATGAGTTGGAATTGACTCAACGGCAATGAGTTTTTTTTTTAAGGTGTATGAATGTTCACTTTTTCAAGACTGTGCCAAATTGCTTTTCTAAGTGGTTATACTAATTTACAATCCTGCCAGTAATGTGTAAGAACTCCCACAGATGCACACAATCTCCAGTATTTATTGCCAGACTTCTTATTTTGTCAGTTTACTGCATGAAAAACAGTAGCTGATTGTGGTAGTTTTTGTATTTCCCAAATTAATGAGGTTGAGCATCTTTTCATGTTTATTGGCCACGGCACTTCCTCTTCCACATAAGTATTTCTTATCTAACTTTCCTTTTCAATACTCTGGCAAGCATCAGAATCTTCCGTCATCTACAATTCCTCATGAAAGACACATTACTTATGATGATTACAGATTATTTTACATTTGCTTCATTTAAACCTAATGTCCATCTTCCCTCTTAGGGTGTTACTGATAATGTCTAATGGTCAGTAATGCATTTATAAACCACCTATTGGCTGGGTGTGTTTTGGGAAATTTCTGATATATGGCTAATCCTATCCTCCTCAGATTAAGATTTCCTGTCATTGACAGTTTCAATCATTTATCCTATTGTAAGTACAGGTAGTTCCTGACTTACAACTAACCACACTTACCACCCTGTGTGTGTGTGTGTGTGTGTGTGTGCATGTGTGTTTTGGTACATCTTAGTAACATGTACTAGTGTTACAGTGCATAATTTGCTGATGTTATCATTCTCATGCCAACCCCCAAAGATAAATAAGATCGGATTTATAAAGATGCTGATAATAAAAGGCAATAATAATGAAAACAACAACAAAAAGGTACTAGACTTACTTCAGTACTTTGTAACCAGAGTCCTCTGAACCCCGACATAAGTCTGTATAGACTAGTTCTGATCTCCTCCACTAGTTGATGGTATCTGGAAGGCAAAATCACATCCCACTAATCTACTAATCTTTAAACCACACTCCAAGCACAGTACCAGACATACTGCATGCATTAATACATTTTAGATGGTTTTCACCTGTGAGTACAAAGAACGTCCTGAAAAATATCGTTCACAGCTACTTGATAGCTGGCCCCCAACACTCGGTGCTCAGCGGGTTTTCCTTGCCTATCCTTGCCACTTCACGTTGGAGATGAAATAAGACGCATTGTAGGTTGAGCCCTGGTTGCACAGTGGTTAAGTGCAGTGGTTAAGAGCTCTGCTGCTAACCGAAAAGATCCGGCGGCGGCTTCTTGGAAACCCTCTGGGTCAGCTCTACTCTGTTCTACTGCACAGCAATGGGTTTTTTGTTTTTTTGGTAAGCTTTTTTAAGAGTGCTCAGCTGGAAAGGTATACTTGGAATAAATAACACCAGCCTCTCCACAGGAGAAAGATGTGGCAGTCATGCATCTGCAAAGATTACAGCCTTGGGAACCCTCTGAGGCAGTTCTACTCTGTCCTATAGGATCACTAGGAATGGACTGGAAGGCAACGGGTTTGGTTTTTGGTTTAGTAGGCTTCTTTCTGATAGACTACAGTTGGCTCTCGTCTTCCTCCCTCCTTCCACAAATGGGGCCCAAAACACAACCTGGGCGACTCTAAACTCTCAGGACCACTTAAATGTCTCCGGACGAGATTTTCGGGAAGAAGAAACATTTTCTTAACTCATGTCGTATAAAAAGAGAACAACAAAGGCTGGATATTCATGGTCACGTACCCGTGTGCACGTTTTAAAAGCGCAAACTGTACAAATACACAGATCTTCAAACACTGACACACGCGAAAACACACGTGCTCTCTCCTCCTCCCGGGCACAGATTTTTTGAAACTAAACAGAGAAAAAGTGTCTTGGCATTCCGTTGCCCACTTTCTACAATACATTTTCAGGAAAAATAAAACCAAAACAAAAAGATTTGAAAGAATTTATTTTTAAAAAGATGACAATATATTTTTGTTTATGTATATGTTTGTCTTCGTACTTTTTGGGGATTAATTTCGGTTTTCAGACTTACCCTGCCCATCGGCTCTAGTGTGGAAACTGCGGCGAACCTGACCGCGAACGCTAGAGAGGCGGAGCGGAGAGGTGATGTCACCGTCGCGGGGCGGAGGCGACGATGTCTGCGAAGAGGCTCCACGCGGTGGAACGCCGGCAGCTGCGCCCAGAATCAATCTGAGTCCCCGCCACCGCCTTTCCCTCTTGTCCGCCCACTGCGCGTCCGGAGCAGAGATGGCAGACGATCTTGGAGACGAGTGGTGGGAGAACCAGCCGTCAGGAGCAGCCAGCAGCCCAGGTACCCACTCTGCCCGCGCTCTCTCAAGGCCCCCTCCCATTGTGGCCGTCTGTGCGCCTCGGCGCCGGCCCGCGTCTGGCCGTCCGGGTCTCCGGCCCCGCGGTGGCGCGCTCAGCGGTGGGCGAGGGTGGTGGGAGCGATGTTTTAGCACGTGGAACTGAACAAGTGTGACGTTAGATCAGCCTGCCAGTCAGGAAGGGGCTTTTTCCGAAGTCTGTTTTTCTTTTCTTCTTTCTTGAGAATGAATAAGACAGTTTTTGTGAAGGGAGGTAAAAGGCAGTCCCCGGACTAGATTTAGACTACTTCAGTTCAGATCGCTACTCCAGCACTCTGATATGGTTTCGCCTCATTTGTAAAGTACTTTCCGACATCTGCCTACGTTGTTTTGAAGATTAAATGAAAATAATGTGTGATACACTTTAGCACAGTGCTTGAAACATAATATGTGCGCAGTAAATATTAGCTATTGTTTTTCTTGCTATTACTATCATCATGTAATTTGGAATGTTAGCGCCAGAAAGGGGCTTAGCGAGCATCCATGTGAACTCACCCATTTTACAAATGAGGAACATGAGACTTAAAGATGTCAAGCAACTTGACACGTTCGCATAACTAGTAACTGTCAGGAACAAGACTAGAATCCAGATAACAACACAATTCAAATATTGTTTACTATGTGTACGCACTCCCAATGCAGTGGTCATTTTTCTAGGGAGTAGCATTAGGTAACTTTCCACCGCAGGCGGTCATTGAATTCTTCTGTTCAAGTCTCATAAGGCTGACTATGCAATCATGTTTATCTTTCTCTTCAAGGTTTGCCTCTCTGCTCTACTAGATTCCAAGATATTTGAAAACAAAGCCAAAGTCTTTAATTCATGTTTCCATTGTCTACAGTGCCCTGCACACAATAGACACTTGATGCATGTTTGCTGCAGACATTAATCTTGAAATATGAATTGTGAAATATCCATTAAAAACAACAAACTTCTACTTCAGTTGTTTCATTGTTTCCAGAAGGACAGACTTCAGTACAAACTGATCAGACGTATTTTTTAAAATGTTGCTAATATAATACATCCTTGATAAAGCTTACAGACTCTTCTGCAGCCTTGCTCCTAGGAAATGTATCTCTGTGTCTGAAGGCACAGCACTTTTTTTTTAATCTTTTTTTTTTTTTTTTTTTGCAGCACTGTAATGATCCACAGTTAGTTTAATACCCCCCAACTCTGGTGTTAAAAGCTATTGCTATTTTTTATTTTTTATGGTGTGCTTTATGGATAGAGGTCGTTTAAGAAATAGTTGAATTCCTCTTGAGTGATAGGGGAAACGGCATTGAATTAGGGATTGTAATTCTTGAGTTCTAGTCTTGCCTCTGCCTCTCACCACCTATGTGACTGTCAAGTCCTTGAAAGGAAGAGAATCAGTATGTATTGAGTGCTTATTATGTGCCAGATGTTTTTGCAAATACCGATTCATTTAATCCTTGAAATGTAAGTGTTGCCTTCATTTTTACAGAGAAACTGCTGACAGTTAAGTAGTGTTCTTTAATGCACAGCAAGGAAGAGGTCTCGAAAGAGGCTAGTTAAGTGTGACTAACTTTCAAAGCTGTACTTTTCCCACTATTACCATCTGGCTTCTCTGGACCTCACTATCATGATCTGTAAGATGAAGAGTCCTTAGAGATAATCTTTTTAAGAGTTTTACCAGTCAACAGTTCAAACATTTCATCTAGTAGAACTTTAAGTCCTACAGCCTCCTTTATCTAAGTTACCAGAATTCTATCAAGACGATGTGTCAGAGTCCCCACTTATTTTTTTATGAGCTAGATTCCTTCTAGCTTTAAGACTAACCTTTGAATATTGCTGACGTTCAATTTTATCAGACTTTAGCTTTTTAGATTACCTTTAAGAAAAGTGAGCATATAAATTTTGTTAAGACCTGTTTGATTCATTATTTATTGACAGTTTGTCTAATCTGCATATCATTTCTAATTCAGAATAAATCACAACTGAACCAGTTCGGATTTCCTGATTCTTCCTATGTTAATGGGGAAAGATTAGCCTAACATGTGTAAGTTACGTTTTGTCTTGAAAGTCAAGGAAGAAATAGTATGTTAAGTTAGAGAAGAGAAAGATAGTTGTAATGCTGCTTTTATCCATGTTAGATATTATGCTACTTCCCTATAAAAATAACATTTTTCCTTATCACCTATTCCCAATTCACACTCATGGTGGCAAAGCAATGGAATATTTTTAGCCATTTATTCAACATTTGTTGCTTAAACACTGTGTATAACACCTGTCTAATGTATCTATCTGTTTACTTATTGTCTAAGAAAATGTACTATGTTTTGGCCCTTCTCATGTCTTCATAGATGTGGTACATAACAGAGGCTCTTGTTGATGCTTTTCATCCACCCATGCCCCTTTTGCTTACATCATATGGCTCTTTAATACCTGTTATTTTTATATGAGACTCTTGCATTGCACTGGAGCCCAACATGAATCTTAGTACTTACTTGGTGTTTGGTAGATGTTAGCTGAATGAATGAATTAATGAATGAATGCATGCATGCTAGATGCTACAGAACTGTCAGTGACCATAAATTTAGGTAGACATATAATTTCTCATCTAATGCATACGCTTTTGAAAGAGGAAGGCCATGTTATTAGAATTTGCTGGGACTGTTCTGGACACCTGGGAAGGCTGACCATCCTATTGGTGACATTATTGTTGGTGATTGTAATCATGAACCAGGATAAGACAGCTGAGAGTCACCCTTCCTGAGGATTGTGCAGCCCAGTCTGCCTCAGACATTGGAGCCCAGGAGTCATCTAATAGCATCTAATATTTCATTTCACTTATTTCCTTATTGCCTGCTTACCTTAAGAAACTATTTTAAGTGACTTATAATAAACAATACATGCAGTAGAATCATGATTTTAAAACATTGCTGCTAAAGTGAGCAGATCCAATGCCTGAGATTTTATGTAGTTGATCAAACTGGGCTCTTTCTCAGTGTGAAGCCAAAATCTGAGAGAATATCAGTCAAAACATGGACTTTGATGTTTGGATCAGAGCCGAGAGATTCTAAAGTTGGAGGCGGTCCCCTGATCATTCATTCACTGAAAAAGACCACCCTTTGCTTTCTCTTTTTAATCCATTATCAAGTAGAGTGTCCAGTAGGCAGCTGGTTATGTACGTCTGGAGCCCCAGGGTCAGGCCAGGGCTGGAGATACAGATTTGAGAATGACTGACACACAGATGGTTTACTTTTAAAGAGGATGTTCTTAGCAATTTGCAAAACTGTTAGCCGTCATTTCTTTTGAAGATAGTTTTTATATGCTTCCATGGCCGACTCATTCTGAATCATCTCTTATCAAGTGTCCAACTAGAGAAATGAAATATGTAGATACTTGTGTGTACAGTGACGAGAGACTGCAGACAATAATGCTAGCTTGCATTGGTCAAGTGCTTACTATGTGCCAGATGCTGTGTTGATTGCTTTATATGAATTAGCTTATTTAATCTGCACAAGAACACCATGAGATAGTTACTGTTATCCCATCTTATAGATGGGGAAATTGAAGCACTGCAAGGTGAAGTGATTTGTCCAGTGTTATTCACTTGGTAACTGAGGGAACTGGGATTCATATGCAGGCAATCTGAAACCAGAGTCTGTGCACTTATATTTTGAATAAATAACTATTCTGATTACCAGTGGTAAAAATACTGTCCCTAAAATATCAGTCCTTTATCCGTCTAAAGAGCTTGGCTGCTAACCAAAGGTTGGCAGTTCGACTCCATCAGCTACTCCTTGGAAACCCTATGGGGGAGTTCTACTTTGTGCCATAGGGTCGCTATGAGTCGGAATCAACTCGATAGCAGTGGGGTTTTTTTTGTTTATTTACATCATTGTTATCAAATTGTATCTATTAAAGCCCTTAGTCTTCCAAAGTTTACTCTTCCAAAGAACGTTGGTTACTTGGAGCTACAAATAAGCAACTTATACCATTGGGCTTTGAGAAGCATCTTTTCCAATTACTCACACCTGATCCTGGAGTGCAAGACTGGCTTACTGGCTGCCTTTTTAATGTCTTTATGAAGTTATTTAATAGGAATGTCAAATGTAACATGACGAAAACTTAGCTATTGAATTGTTCCCCAAACCTGCCTTTTCTCCAGACTTCCTCATCTTGATAAATTAAATCAGTGACTACTCAATTTCACAAACAAAGGGCTAGAAGTATCCTGATATATTCATCCATTTATTTCCGTCACCCCTCACACTTGATCTATCATGTCCTGTTGTCTCTCCTCCATAACATATCAGGAATCTTTCTTTCCATTTTTCTTCTTGGTTGTCTCCATTGATGTATACTCTATCATCCTTTTTTGCCTAACCACTGTAGCAAGCTCTTAACTGGACTCCCACTTTCCATCTTGTCCCTCTGTGGACTATTCTTCATTCAGCAGCCAGGATGGTCCTTTTAAAGGAGAAATCAGATCACATTCCTGCTTAAACCCTCCAATGGCTTCACCCTGGCCCACACAATAAAATTCAGATTACTTACTATGACTAGTCTCTGTGAGATCTTCTGCTTACTGCTCTCTAGCGTTCTCTGTCCCAGCTATACCAGCCTTCATTCTGTTCCTCAAAAGGCCAAGCTCATTGCCCTTTGCAATAGCTGTTTCTTTTCCTGTCTGTGCTGAACTTCAGAATTTTCAATGACTGGCTCTTTCTTAATATGAAGACCTCATTTCACACATCACCTGCTCAGAGAGGCACTTCCTGGTAAGCCAGTTTAGAGTAGCCATCCATTACATTATCACCTTATTTTAATTATCTGCAGAGCATTTATCACCAACTATTATTTTCCTTGTTAAGTTATTATAGTCTCCCCCATCTAGAATGTGAGCTCCAATGCAAGCAGGGACTTTGTCTTGTTCTTTGCTGTATCCTCAGGGCCTAGGGTAGTGTCTGGGTACACAGAAAGCAC